AAATTCTTTTCCAGTTTTATATCTCTCAACAATAACCCCTTACTCCATAGATCTATTAAAAATTCATAAATCATCCCAGGGATTTATATATATATTTGATTATATTGTGTATACCTTTTATGCACAAAACACAAAGGAAGCCTGTTATTCTATTTTCATGTTACGATTATTCGATTCTTTTTCCTCTTTCGACCATAAGTTATTCAAAACTTCTCAAATTTTCCTATTCTATCCTAAACCCATAGAATCAATCTTATACTAAAACAAAAAGAGAAATTTGAAGTAGAGGGTTATCCCTTTTTTTAATTGGTCCGTTTTTATGTTATTTCGTACTGTACACTTCCTTTGTTTGTGAGATCATTTTCTTACGAGGGGTAATGAAAAGAGTTATAGAATGGATTGCTACCTATGCCTAGATCGCGGATAAATGGAAATTTTATTGATAAGACCTTTTCAATCGTAGCCAATATCTTATTACGAATAATTCCGACAACTTCAGGAGAAAAAGAGGCATTTACTTATTACAGAGATGGTGCGATTTGATTTTTTTTGTATTTACCGTTCTCGGTCTTAGGAAAACGACACGTGATTCGGAATAGAAAACAAAACTATTGACTGAAATCAAAGAAAAAAAAATTCACGCTTGTTGAAGGTGAAGTTTATAAATAAAACAATTCCTTCTGTCGTGTATCCCCGATTAATGCAACCTCAGATGCTTGGATTGTTGATTCTAGTATTGAGCGAAAGGTTACACCTATTCTGTATGGGTATGTATTGCGAGTCAACCCTACCACACTAGTACCAATAGGCGGCATAGAGGAAGAAGCACTACGCCGAGGAATCAACTACACGAAAACTTTGTTATTTGTTATAAAGACTCCTTTTCTTTATCGGGATCGGGGCTAAGAAAAAAATGGTTGGGACAACAAAATCCATCTCGTTTGTACTTTGGATACCCATATAACCATCGAAGACTGTTGAAGTGACTAATTCCTGAAAATGAAGGAGCGGTGATAACAAAGAAATTGCTGGAGTTTCCATTTTTATCTAGTAACAACAAACACGTTTAATGTTAAGAAAAGATCTTTTGCAAGAGGGTTGGCTAAAGATTTCTTGTAAAAAAATTAGCCCCGCTCAGTTCATAATGACAATATTTCGACCTTTTTTAATTTCATGGATTATTCTCATTATGCACATAAAGGAGGAGCCGTATGAGGTGAAAACCTCGCGTACGGTTTTGGAACGGAGGATTCTTTGAATAGAATGACGACCGTAACGGATGTCAGCTCAATCCGAAGGAAATTATGCGGAAGCGTTACAGAATTATTATGAAGCTATGCGCCTAGAAATTGATCCCTATGATCGAAGCTATATACTCTATAACATAGGCCTTATCCACACAAGTAACGGAGAACATACAAAAGCTTTAGAATATTATTTTCGAGCACTAGAGCGAAACCCGTTCTTACCACAAGCTTTTAATAATATGGCTGTGATCTGTCATTACGTGCGACTATCTCCACTATAGAAAGAAAAAAGGAAAAAAA